GTAAAATTATAAACACAAATTAAAACTTAAAATTGTGAATTAGCTAGAAAACATATATATATTATACATATGTTTTTGTTATTTTTTTATGAACTTAAACCCCCGCAGGTTTAGCAGGAAACGGGAACAAATTGCCATCCCTGGTGCGCAAGAAAAGGGTTTAGTTTCCACGCTGAGATACATTTCTTTGGTTTGGTATTAGTGGTTATATTCGATCAGTAAAACATACAGAATCATAGAAATTAGTCTTGGGACACATTGCTCACAAATTTTGCTATTAAGAAAGCCAACGTTCAAGATTCAAATCGGATTAGATGAGATTATGAACTTAATTAGTTTACCATAAATGAACTTTGGGATGTATTTCCAAGACCAGCAGATAATAATGTCATCGGTACTAAACGCGTATCCAAGAATAAATATGTTGATCAAGGTTAAATTCAAAGAAACAAAGCAAGTTTGGTAGCTCAATGATATACTCATATTGAAGGAGTACGTAGATTTTGATGAAATCGCGTATGATTTGAACTTCAAACTGATATGCGTGTCAAAACAACCTTTCTCAATGGTAAAGAAAATACATTATGCCTAATCTTGGCCAAAACGTACATTTTTTTTTTCTTTGTTTTTGTTTTTACATGCTGAAGGGAAAACATATTTTCCCTTTGGTTTTCTGATTAGAAGTCTTGAGAAAGGTAGTGTGAAACTATTCCCATGTTTGGTAAAACGAGTGATTGGAATACGAAACCTGCCACATGGACTTGTCAAACCCATGAATGAGGGAATCTCATACCCTTAGCCACCCTTGGAATTTTTCTCTCATGATTTGGGAATGTATTTGATGCACAATTATTCGCATAGGCATGAATTTTTGGTTTAGGGTTTGAGGTTTTCTTTTCAAACCCATGGCAAAAAATTTCAATAGAATATTCAGCCCTAGGGGCGTGGCCAGATTCATTAAGATATAAAGCCTCCTTGTGTTTGTCCAAGTTATATATATCTGATTTTCCCATAGGGTGTAGGCATAGCAACAAGGTGAATTCGAGCTAGGCATGACGTTTCTATCTCCATCTATAATATTCAAATTGAGAATTTCTCATTCCCACCTTCATTCGGGAACGAGTTCCCCCAACCCCATAACAAAAGTTAGAAACTGTTCAACTACAACAACATACACTTGTAATTTTTTTTATGTATTATTTAATTTAATACATAATATAATATAATCCAATTTAATCTAATATACAATATATTCATATGATATGAAAAATAAATAACAATATTCTAAATGGGAAGGATTTGGATCGGGGATTCGAATACCCTCCTTGCCCCACCGCAACGTTCGATTTCTATCTTTCTTACTTGACCTGTTAAGGGCAAAGCCTCTCGAAAACCCTAACTTGGGGAAAAAATTGTCATCCCTAATAGAATCCAAGCAAACCGAACGAGGTTTGCACCTTTTTTTTTTCTTTCAAAATAGTTCTTGAGCTAGTATATGAATTCTAAATCGTAGTTTGCACTAATTCTACCAAGGCTTCTATCACAAGCATCTCTCCACAAAATAGCTCTCAAGTCTTGATCTTGCTTTCGAAATATCTCTTTTGGAGCTGACCGAATTGGCCTTTGGCGGCCAGTAATACTAGAAACACCAACTTACGATTAATAATTGATGTGGCAATGTTTCATTTGTTTCCTCTCTGGTTCAAATTTAGATCTCATTTACTCACAGCAAATAAGAAATTGTCAAATCAATTAGTAATCAATAGTTTGTGTAATAATTTAGTGTCTATCAATATTGATTGTTATGCAAACAGACGCTAAAGCATTCTAGACAGAATAATACCATCAACCACAATCCAGATAATCTCTTGCTCCTAATTTAATTGTAGAGCACAGTGAATGCCAAGTCATTCTTATTCAAAACTGAGGTATTAGCCTAGTCGTCTAAGAGTTGTACTTGCCACATTCAACTATGCACTGACTAAACAAATACTTTGGTTATCTAACAAAGGCAAAAGGGTTGAAATTTAACATAATTCAGGTCTAAACTGCCGATTTCGATGACAGGCTAATCCAAGCCCATAAAGATACAACATAGTTCAGCTTGCTACTGGTACAACAAGCTTGCTACAGTTTACAACATCGTTCAATTAACAACAGACAGTTACCGACTCTATTAAGGAAAACATACTCACTGTAGATAGTTCAACACGGCCCATACGGGGCCGTTAACTCATACAAAGAACACTACCGAGTACATACGAACTACAAACCACTAGGCGACTCAAACATTGTTCCTCTTCAAATCCTCATTCTCCTTGTTTAGAAGATCGATTCGTGCTTGAAGAATGTTAATCATTGCTTGGGCACTCATCATTTCAAATTTCAATGTCTCCCTCTCAATAGAGATCTTGTGGATTTCATTTTGCAGAGTCTCTACATATTTCAAGCAGCTAGGAGGCACAGATGAATGAAGCAAAGCAGCACTGAATTCAGGCGGTGGTGGTGGAGTGGTATCTTTGGGTTCAAGGGATTCTAACAGCTGATACTCCACCAGTGCAGACAGAAAATTTCTTGTTGTCGTGGTCATCGATGCCTCAGTTGACGCTGTTGTTGTTGTAGATGAGCAAGGGTCATGTGTCATCCCACTTGAAATGTCAGAAGCATTTGAATGGTTAGAATTTGAATCATTATGCCGCCTTCTTTTATACTGGCGTAGTTGCCCAGGATGTCGATGAAACAAAGATAGCAGGGGCTGTGCATCATCAGGACCTGGTGATGGATAATCATCCAATCTCTCTTCCCGATTAACCACACATGTCATGGGATAATCATCCATTCTCTCTGTCTTGCAAAGTGGTAAATCATTTTCATTCTCTGTTGGAAGTTCAGCATCAGTCACAAGAGCATTGCTGATGGGCTGAGTATCCTGAAATGAGCAACCAAGACAGACAAGCAAATTGTGGATATATGGTGAATTGAAAATACAAAGGAAAGTTTCAAGTCAAATACGATGAACAAACAAGTCCAATACATATATGCGGTACAACCCAGATCTAATGTAAAAAAGAACAATATTAATGGGAATGTTTCAAACAGGTCAGGTTGGTTGTACACAAAATAACATGATATCAACTTTGGTTGCTTACAATAGCATGCCATTATCTACTTCTTTTGGTGTATATTCACTCACATGATAAACTTTTGATATGATGCACACAACACAGCAACAATAATAGATGATAACCTGTAAATCTAAATCTAAATTGCACAAGCAAGGATAGTTTCAACAAAAGATTAGAGTTTAAAGATACAGTAAGAAAAAAAGAAATTGAGAGATTTATAATGATTCAACAGTCTCGAAATACAGTTGCAATACTCAGAAATATGGTCAGGTAGTTTGGTTCTTTGAAAGGCATATGTGTCTTTCATTCAGTTTTTTGCATCCATGATTTCTATGTACAGGTCAAAAAAAGACAACTTACAGTAGCTGATACTGTGGTGTCAGTGCCAGAAAGTAGCATTATGAACAATCTAAGTAGTGGTTTTAGTTTAAAAATAATAATATAAAAATAAAAATAAATAAAACTTGATTTCATATTATTCTAAGGCTAGGATTTAATGATTTCCAGCTGTATGTGACATATATTTCTACAGACCAATGCAATAAAACAAAACTCAAAAGAACATTTAACATGTGGTAAAAATTACCTTCTAATAATTTTCTTTGTTTTTCTTCAGTTCTATCTAATATTTTTATCTGGAGCCATGTAAGGGCATAATGGTTAATACTTGGAGTTCAATGGAGATCCTTATGTTTCTACTCACCATAATGGGCTAATTAAGACCGTCAAAATCTGATTAAACAGCAGAAGGATCTATTAATTAAATTTAAGAAAACCAAAGTTCTGCAAAAAAGAAAAGGAGAGCACAAATGATGGACATATAGTCACCATCCCAGGCTTTTCTTCAGGGTATGGCAATCCCTTAGTTTAACCATATTTCTGATTTTTAAAAACACAACCTTTTTCATGTGGAAAACAAATAGACTGGCAAGTTGTATATGCCATGATATAGTTTCCCAAATCAAGACTCTACACATGGGAACACAATCTACAGCAAAACACAGCTTCAGGCACCTGCTGATATAAGGATATAAGGGGGAGAGAGGGGGAGAGAGGAATGCAGGTTGAACTAGTAAACCAGTGACTTGAACAATCGCCTGGTTAAGCTTAAGTTCCTTCAGTGTACCATCCATAAGTTGACTTAGGTATTAACTAGAATAATTGTTTCACATACTAAGAAATCTTGGGAACTGCAAAACTTGAATGTTCACCATTTGGCCTGCTTAGGAATCAAGAAGATAGATTGTTGTGCAAAAGCCTCTTAAATCCAACACCTATGCTAAAACATCATTAACAAACACCACAGTCATCAGATCAGAACCTAAATCGTAGTTACCATTTCGATGCTCTAAGAGTTCTTCCTCACCACCTGGTCTTTCAAAAATTCCGACAAGCTACAGTCTATGTCATTAGAATCATCGTTTTGTTATCACCTTCAGCAAGAAATCCTGTCAACTTCTTTCTACAACTTGATCTCAAATTTTAACCTATAAACCTTCCAATTATGCAAATGCTCCTCTACAGAACAAGCAACATCCTTGCTCTTTATCCCTAACTCACATAAAATCCAACAAAATCAACAGCCTACTGAGTTTTTAACTATTCCACTACCTGATATCTTTCTCTCAAGGTACTTTACTTATTTTACAGCAATCCCTAATCTAAAGTAACATCCTATTTTACTTATCCTCAAAAAAACCAATTTTAGGCCACAGATCCATTAAACAGAATAATATTCCAAGACCTTCTTCTTCTTTTTCGGAAGAGAACTCTCCAAGACTTCAAAGTTCAAACGGCCAAATTCTAGCACGATAGGAGATACAACATTATAAGCCATATCTGAAGAGCAATTCATTTAGAGACCACGGTCAAAACAGTTGCTGATTATTGGAACATAAAATATAGTTACCCTAAATCAAGGGCAAATAATACAGAAAACCCTAGCCACATAATCATAGGAAGTTCTCACAAACCACATGTTCTAATTCCAAACCAAGGACAAATAGAATAGCCCATCCTTCAAAGAGTACCTTGTCGGACTAATTACAATTTCATCAAGCAGTCATTGCAGCTTTTTCCACATAAGGAAGCCTCCATAAATTGTCTTCCAAACTTCCATTTCAAAATTATGTAACAATTCCAGTTTGTAATGATATCATGATGACACCTTTAAAATGATAAATCTAGAGATGACATAGAAACAAGGGGGCCATAGGTTATCATCTAAATAAATTAGTCAGTATTTTGTCAAAAACTTCATCGAGGAAAGAACAAATACATAGAAGAAAACGTAAATGATTCAGTTTAAAAAATTTTGATCCACAAGAAGATTGAGAAGTTGGATTAGCAATCCGTGAATTCAGTCCACGGAACAAATAAAAAATAAATAAAAATTCTCATTTCCGAGCATGTAGTAACATCCTTTCTTTTGGTGCAGCATATTGGATGTTTACTCTCATTTCTAAGCATACAGTATAATCCTCATTTTATTATTTTGCATGTTTCATTGAAATTTCTAATACCTACAAATGATGAAATACCCCATATTGCCAAAATTAAGGACCTTCAATCAAAACAAGGTGCATTTTTGTCAAAAACAAAAACAAAAACAATATGCATGCTTCATTTGGTTGATTGCATGCTTTGATTGAGTTGTTCTAATGCATAGTTGTGTGTCTTGTTATCAATCACGATCATCATGATACACTAATGACAAAGTGGAGAAACCACTATTTGCTTAACAGATGAGCAAACTCAGCCTATACGATAAAAGAGCACAAATATTTATGTGAATAAACTTAGGAAAACAGAAATAAACTGAAAAGCACAAACCTGCTCAAAATTATTTCCTGCATTGTGCAAATCAGGACCATATTCCACCATTTCCAGACAGTTACCCTCATTAGTAGTTCCATGATCACCTCCTTCAATTATAGTGCCATGGCCATTTCCTTCAACAGAAGTAACATGACCATTTCCTTTGACAGAAGTGCCGTGGCCATTTTCTTTGACAGAAGTGCCATGGCCATTTTCTTTGACAGAAGTGCCGTGGCCATTTTCTTTGACAGAAGTGCCGTGGCCATTTCCTTTGACAGAAGTGCCATGACCATTTCCTTCGACTGAAGTTCCATGACCATTTCCTTTGACGGAAGTGCCATGGCCATTTTCTTGGACAGAAGTGCCATGACCATTTCCTTCGACTGAAGTTCCATGACCATTTCCTTTGACGGAAGTTCCATGACCATTACCTTGGACGGAAGTGCCATGACCATTTTCTTGGACGGAAGTGTCATGACCATTTCCTTGGACGGATGTGCCATGACCATTTCCTTGGACGGAAGTGCCATGACCATTTTCTCCATTACATGCAGCATGATCATTTCCTTCAATGCATGCAGCATGACCATTTTGTTCTCTACGTGCAGCATGACCACTTTGTTCACTACGTGCGGCATGAGCCTTTTGTTCACTACGTGCGGCATGAGCATTTTGTTCACTACATGCGGCATGAGCATTTTGTTCACTACAAGCAGCATGACCATTTCCTATAATAAATGCATCCCGACCAGCTACAGCTTCATTCCGGGACTCTTGTCCAGGAACCAAAGTTAACTTGTCATCATCATCCCATTCCTCCTCAACAAAAGGAGCATATCTGTGCCCGTTTGGTGGTCCTATGTTGCTTTTATGAAATACTCTACACAGCACAAATGCATCCTGCAGCCCCCAAAGAAAAAAGATAACAAAAATAATGAATCAATCTCCAGAAGATAGCAATAGCCAACACTAAAATAAAAATACCGTTTGGATGCTTCAATAAAATGTAGGTAGGAATCTCAGTAGTTCACATTATTGTAACACAATATAAACCAAGTTCAGCAGTTCACGAAAATAAACTATTCAGCTCCAATGCCAAAAATTTTGATAATTACCAAACCAAAATTAGCATAACGCAAGTGCAAAAACAGCATTTCTCTCATAAACAAAAAAGTTGCTTATAGCACATAAAAGCACTAACGAAAATTAGGCCAAGGCCTCACCTGAATGGAACCAAGCCCAGCTTTTTCAAATACTTCATCAACAAGCCTATACTCATGCATAACCCAATTGGTCCTTTTGCCATCAGGAGCTCGGCCACTATGAAAAACCAAGGTTTTCTTCATCCCCACAGTGATATCGTTGTGCTTGACTGCCCTGTCATTTCCTGTGGCCTTCCAGTACCCTTGGTTTGTAGCCCTGTTCATCCTTGCCCCATTTCCGTACTTCCTGTCTAGTGCACTGAAAAAATAGTACTCCTGGTCCCTGCTCTTCAAGCTCGACTTATCTAAAAACCCATGTAAAAAATTCAATAAATAACCAAAATTTCAACCCAGAATCTAAAAAAGCCCAAAAAAGCACAAAATTTCCAAGCGTTATCTCAGCCGAAAAATCAGCAAGGAAGACCCACAAACATAATAAGGCAAGTTTCCTTATAAACACAAACATTAAGCAAACAAAAGCTTTAAAAAAAACACAATAAAAAGCAAATTTAACACAAAAATTAAAAAGCCCAGTTAAAAATTTTAAATAAATTTAAATAATAAAAATTGGAGAGGTGGGTATTACCTGCGAGGTCCCAAGGCTCGCTCTTGTAGATGTCGACCTCGGAGATCGCGTTGAATTTGAAGGGTTTTCGACACACCTTGCGCTTGAGGTAGTAAATGACGAGTTCTTCGTCTGTTGGGTGGAACCTGAAGCCTGGAGCCAAAGCCGTTGGCGCTGGCGGCGGCGTGGCTGGGGCTGTGGCTGCGAGTACTATTGCTTTTGGTTGCTCTGCTTCGCGACCCATGAGTCCAAAAGCCCAGAGACGGGTCTGGTTTTTGGTCTGGTCCTTGATATGGAGGCTTCTGGGGATTTGGTGGACGGGAAAAGCAAGCGATAGGGCTTTGATTGGTGTCGAAGAAATGATGGGAATGCCTTAGTTTACAAGAAACTGTTTTCGATTTAATTTTTATTCTGATCTGTTCCCTTTTATTTGTGTCATGGCTTTTGGGTTTGGTTTGAGTGAAATGGCAGAAAATTGTGCCTACTTATACAACAAGTTCCTCAGATGGAAATATCAGCCCCAATAAAGTGATATAATATTCTAGTAATTTTTATTTCTTTTTTACTTCTATTTTTATGTTTTATTTTCTCCTTCATTGCTATTATTTATAAAGAGAAAATTGTTAAGAATTGGTGAAATTTTTGAAGTTTTAACATCCTAAAATGTCATTTGCTAAAGAAACTGTTCAAACAAAACTGTGACTATGGAGGTGAAACTTATCTCTCTTTTTTTTCTAATTTCTTAATTTAATTATTTTTATTTTATTTAAAAACTTTTATGAACTTGTATCAAGAGGCTAGTATGTTTTTTCGAAAAGAAAATGTTATTTGTATTAATTCTTTTAGAATTAATATAATAGTGTAAGTTAGCATGTACCACTGTGATGTTATTCTACGTTAATAATACTCTATAATTTTTAGACCATCAAAGTTTTCTATAAATAAATTAAAATAAAGAAAAAACAACTACAAGTAGATAATAGTTACAAATACAATGAGTTATTCTTGCTAAGTAGTTACCGGTAGTTGCTGCGTGTACTTTTCTTCAATTTTAAAAAGTCGTTATACACCAGAAGTGCAATTTTCCGTCATCACGTTGAGATAGTAGTTATCGTTATTTTCCGAACATTCTTTGTCCATAACTAATTTTAATTCACCTATTCGAGCTACGATCGTACACTTTACTCCACCCCCTCTTTGGCAAAATTTTGAATATTATCATTTATATATCTCAAAATAAATTAAAATAAAGAAAAAACAACTACAAGTAGATAATAGTTACAAATACAATGAGTTATTCTTGCTAAGTAGTTACCCATAGTTGCTGCGTGTACTTTTCTTCAATTTTAAAAAGTCGTTATACACCAAAAGTGCAGTTTTCCATCATCACGTTGAGATAGTAGTTATCGTTATTTTCCGAGCATTCTTTGTCCATAACTAATTTTAATTCACCTATTCGAGCTACAATCGTACACTTTACTCAAAATTTTGAATATTATCATTTATATATCTCCTATAAATAAATAAAAGAATTAGAATGCGGGATTTATAAGAGAAATAAAAATAAAAATAAAAATTCCTAAGCCCAACCAAGCAAATCCTACTCGTCATATATGTCAGTTAACTTAAGAGTGAAAACAAATTTAGTAAAACTTATTTCCATATCTGTATAGATGCTAAATAAAAAAAATTATCCATTTATGAAATTTATACTATTCTAGATTTATAAAATACTAATTCTGAAAGTTTAAAATTTATGTGATTTATTTTAAAATGGATAAATTCCATATTTACTTTTGAAAAGAATTACATTTTATCTTTGCAAGGTAATTGGGGTCACAAAAGCTGTGACTCAAAACCCAGCTGGTGTACTGGTCCTTTCACCATTTGCCACCACACACAGCATAGAAACCCGCGTCAGTTGCATAAAACCTTGTGCACATTGTCAAAAATTATAAACCTTTACCCAAAGAGAAAAAGAAAACAATAGTT